CTCCCATCCACCCTCATTCCCTCGTTCTCTCACCACTCATACACACGCACACGGTCACTCTCTTTCTCTCATACACACAGTCACGCACGCACACACACAATCTTTCTCTCTCTTTCACACACACACACACACACACACACACACACACATCTCGTTCGCCCTTGTTGGCTCTAGCCTTAATTCTTTCTCATTCCCTTCTGATTTTCTAACTCCTAGAAATACATTTCAGACCAATGGAAGAGTGAGAAAGAAAGGGAAAGAAGTTTCGCGGTGCGTATTAGCCACGTTGCTTGGAATCCGGCTTTTTCGTATACTTTCCTTCCCTCTCTGTTTCTCTTTCCTTCCTCTCTCGCTCTGTCTCACGCACGCGCGCGCGTACACTTCACAGTCATATACTCATACTTGCCCGAGCGTGCACAATCACTAACGGGTATACTCTACTCTCCTTCTCTCCTAGCGACGTCTTCGACCGGGAAAAAAGTATCTCCATTCTAGCTGCTTCAAAAGTGAAGTAGCCACGAGGTAAATTGAAATTCGCACCCAAAACAATTCTACTTTTCTCTACAATGAATAACACGTGTGCTTATCGTTTTCCTCGGCGCATTCTTAACTACTTAGCTTTACGAATATCAAAAGAGAAGTAGGTGCGCGCGGTTCTCGCATGGTTCGTGAGCGCGCGCGCCGCTAGAGATGCACACGGTGCCATTTTATACGTACACACCGTTGTGTTACGCTGCCGTGTAGCGATATGCTTGCATTATTTTTTTCACGTACGGCTAAATGTCGAAAAGTAATTGTAACGCAGAAGAAAACGGTTTTTGTAGAAGTGACTCTCCAAATGGATATATTTGAATAAAATATTCCGATAGAATGGAAAAGCATTTTTACATTTTAGGAGAGTACGAGTGTAATGACTGTGTGTGGGAGTGTAAATTCGACGCCTCCCCCGCGCGTACCGCGACCCGCGTCACTTTACTTCTCTGTCGTCATTCTAATACCGAACAGATAGCCACATAACGTGGTGCGTGAACCTTTTGTGCTCTTTTTGTAACAAAAACTTATTGATTCGAGTGGTAAATTATGCATTTCTCACGTGTTTCATAAAACGTAATGGATATACTCATGAGCTAATGGTACATTGTCTCTACGAAAACTTACAATTTATTTAGAATGTTGTCATCCATATGTACCTGCATATAGTATTTTTCACAAATATTTTACACATTGAATTTAATACATGAAAATCCAATTCCTCGACCTTTGTGTTATAGTAATTAAAAATAAAATTAATTTATTAAATTAATACACACACATACTTCACTTTTTTTTCTTTTTCTTTTTTAACATCTATCATGAGAGATATAAAGTATAAAAATTATAATTTTCAATATTGTTTGTTGTAAATTGCAGATAACATATTTTTATGTAATATAGATTTTATTACATTTGCAATTTAACTGTATAGAACAATGATAAACTTATTCAAAGAACAGTTTATATATATATATATATATATATGTGTGTGTGTGTGTGTGCGTGCGCGCGCGCGCGCGCGTGTGTGTAAATAAATGTCCTTAAAACTAATTATTATAATAATTTAATTTAATATTCTGAAAAATATAATTTTAGTTTCTTGTACCGATAACATTTTTCTAATAAACTAATAATGGTATTTGTGTTTCGTTTTACAGATTAATAAACAATGAGTTCCAGCGCGTGTTACAAGTGTAATCGAATGGGCCACTTTGCCAGGGAATGCCCTCAAGGTGGTGCTACTAGTGGACGAGGAGATCGTCGCGATCGTGATGTCGGTTTTGGTCGAGGCCGTGAAAAATGCTTCAAATGCAATCAATATGGTCATTTCGCACGTGAGTGCAAGGAGGATCAAGATCTTTGCTACCGCTGCAATGGAGTTGGACATATTGCAAAAGACTGTCAACAGGTAAGCTTTAATAAAAAAACATTTTATTAAAATATAACTTGATTGCACGTAATTATCATTATTAGTTTAACTTGAACAAAATTCAATGAAAAATTTATTAAATTCTTTTATTGTTTTTTTCATTATAAATGCAATATTTTATTATCTAAAAAAAAAGTTGTTTGGAAAGAAAAAATATTCATACAAATTAATATATTAGAAAGTTTAGATATAAATTTTGTTGAGAAATGCAGCGATACATTTTTCAAATATCTTTTGCATAACAGATATAAATTACATTATTAATGTAAGTTAGTTTTTGTTACAAAATCCGTGAAATGTATCTCTTGCTCATTTCATTAAAAATTAATAAAAAACAAATAGATTTACCACAGCAAATCATAATATCCTACTATAATGTAAATGTTATATTACGATTGCTTATCGATTATAGTTTTAATTTATATGATTTTCTTCTTTCTGAACTATTTTTTTTTAACCGTTTAAAGATGTTGTAACATCGCCAAACAATAGTACTTGAAAATAATTAAAATAAACGCAGTTTCAACATGTTGGTTATCAGGGGCCCGAGATGAGTTGTTACAACTGCAACAAAACTGGACACATTGCTCGCAGCTGCCCGGAGAATAGCAACGACTCTGGCCGTTTCACGATGCAGAGTTGCTACACCTGCAACAAGGCGGGACACATCGCGCGCAACTGTCCCGAGGGCGGCAGCAAGACCTGCTATATCTGCCACAAGACCGGTCACATAAGCCGGGAGTGCGACCAGGACGAGAGGAAGTAGGAGACTGCTGAAATCCGTGCCGCTCGCTTAAACGATAACGACAGCCGCCGTTTACCGTCTCGCGTGCGCGCGCCACTGCCAGGGATTTTGTAGCTAGGTAGGGATGCAAACAAAACACATGTGTCTTTTGCTAAACGATTGTTTTGTGAAAGTCTCAAATATCCATCTCTCCGATGCTCCCAAGAGTCCTGGATCAGTTTCTCCGTCTCATTATTCTCTCAATGCCCATTCCTAGACCCCAATCCCTTCTTAAAAGAAAAAATAAGATAAATGAAATCCCTTATGCGATTCCTGCAGTTTGTTTGCATTTAACGACTCGAGTCGTTATCAGTAAGCGTTCGAGTTTTTATTTTCATTAATTATCTTTCTTTAAGAATTTTTTATATGCAGGTACCTCCTTCATATGTGTGCGCGCGCACAATTCACTTACATATTTAAAAAGAAGTGAATACCGGAGCTCTCCTTACCAATATGTTTAGTTCCCTTTCATTTACTATGGTAATTATTGTTTTGCTGAAAATCCAAAATTGCGACAGGTCTTTTACACATATGTAATATTTATCTACAAGGAAGATTATTTTTTTTAATTTAATTTAGATAAAATTTTGAAACAATGAATTATTTAAGGTTATAGTTTGAAAATTATATATAATATAGTAAAGGAAATAATTTTTCTGGCAGATAATTATTTTTGGGATTAAAGTAACGATAATTATTGAGTAAATAATAAAAATTAAAATATTGGTACAAGAGTATTAGATAAGTTTCCGGAAATCACTTGAGTAAGAAATAAAAAAAAAAAAAAAAAAAGTATAAAGCATACTGCATACATGCAAAGGCAAACATGCATAATTACACTTACATGGACTATTAATAATGTAATAAGATTGTAACGTTCGATTTAAAACTGTAGCGCATAGAAAGAAAAACTAAGTCCTCGGGATTGCCCCTTACCTTTCCCTA